TTAATGTGTGGGGAATTGTCAGGGATTTTCCAAGCAGTAAGCATGAATTTATAAAAATAGATCCCAGAGGTAGGATAATTTTGCCAGACTGTCACTTATGATACTGGGGCTTTGTTTTATTTTAAATTCCTTTACCTATGAGTATGAGGGGCATGGAATTCCAGTATCCCCCATGGTTTCCCTCAGCATTAGGTATATGGTAAACTTCTGCACCCAGCACTTGCAGAAGTAGAATTCTTTTTTTTTTTTTTTTTATTTGTCAGGGACAGAGGGAGAGAGCGAGCGAGCACAGGCAGACAGAAAGGCAGGCAGAGGCAGAGAGAGAAGCAGGTTCCCTGCCGAGCAAGGAGCCCGATGTGGGACTCGATCCCAGGACACTGGGATCATGACCTGAGCCGAAGGCAGCCGCTTAACCAACTGAGCCACCCAGGCGTCCCCAGAAGTAGAATTCTTATTTAGTGCTGTTTGCAAGGAGTCTTGGAGCCAAAGCCTTTTAAATCAAAGGAAATCAGGGAGAACAAAAGGTAATCTTTTGCCCTTAAGAGACAGGCCCTTACATTGTTCCATTAACTGTGTTTGCCTTAAATATCTGAATGGTGTAAGTAACTAGAGCGCATTTGTCTCCCTGACTCAGTGTTCATTAGGTAGGATGAGCATTAAACACACACATGTGTGCATACATGCATATGAGTACACACATAAACCCTGCGGTTGGATTCTTGTGAGGGTACAGACCATGTCGCTAATTATCGTTCATCAAAATATATGAGATCTCTATTACGAAATGTTCTGTCTCCAAAAACAGATATTTCTTCTCTTTTAGAAAAATGTCTTTGGCTGGATCCCTGGTACTTTAATTAAAATCCCGGTTGCTCTTTAAAAAAATGTTATTGCATTTCAGACAGCTTGGATGTAAAACAGTAAGTCCAGGAACCAGAACGTTTTGCCAGTGGGATGGAAGGGACCTTGAGGACAGATCAAAGTGCTGCTTGGGCTAGCTAGCCTGATGGGTCTCAGGGGATGGCTCCTGGGGGGAAACCTGCCACTTAATGAGGCCCACCCCATCAGCCTGAGTCTCTAAGCTTGAAGATAATTATTGGAAGCAGTCCCATATTTTCTCCCATTTGTGCCTTGACATAGTCTGGGCTGTTATAAATAAAACAACTAAAAGGATTATCATTAACTAATTCATTAATTCATTTATATAGTGTTATGGACTGAATGTTTCTGTCACTTTAAAATTCATACATTGAAGCCCTAACATTTAGCGTGATGGTTATTGGGAGGTGGGACCTTTGGGAGGTGATTAGGTTTAGATGAGGTCATGAGGTTGAATCCACCAGGATGAGATTAGTGTCCTTGTAAGAAAAGGAAGAAACACCAGAAGTTCCTCTCCGCCATGTGAGGATATAGTGAGAAAATGGCTGTCTGCAAGTCAGGAAGAAGTGTCTTACCAGGAACCAAATCTGCTGGCACTTTGACATCAGACTTCCCAGCCTCCAAAACTGTGAGAAATAAATGTCTATTGTTTAGACCACCCCCTCTATGGTATTTGTTATGGCAGCCTGAGTAGACTAAGACATATATTTTAGTTATTCATGGCATTTATTTAACTTTTGTCTCCCTCGATGCACTGTGAACAACATGGGGGCAGGAACTACCACTGTCTTGCCCAATGCTGTGTCCCTGGCTCCTAGGTGAAATGTGGGAGTGACAGGTGCTCAAAAAAATTTATGGAATGGGTGTGGATGTACACAACATACTAGTAGGAAGAATATGAAAATAACTAAAACATAGTCCCTTTCTTTATAGGGTAATGGCATATTGAAGACAATAGGATACTTTTGATCATTAAGACATGAGTTACTATTTTGTAGTTAACTTATGATGCCTCAGGGAACTTTTCATATTTTAACTCTCAACATAACTTGATAAGGAGGGTATTTTTTTCTTTTACAGCAGAGGAAGCAGGATGAGGGAATTTAAACAGTTTACCCAAAGTCACATAGCCTCTAGGTAGAGAATCCTATCCTCAAACTCAGGTCTTTTTGTCTTTAATGTCTCTGCAGTGCTACCATCTTTGGGAATTTGTTTTTCCTTCTCTTATTGTTTGAAGGTCAGGCTTTTCTGATTTTCTTAGCTGAGAACTAGAGGATATAGCAAACATTCACTTTTTTCATAGAATTGCTATTTGAAGAGGTTTATATTTTAGTTGATCACATGAGCTTTGTCTTAAAAATATCTGCTGAGGTTGGTTTCTTCTTGAGTGAATGAAGGTGATGTTGAGCACAGGACAATCAGTGGGGGAAGGAGGCTGAATGAGCCCTCCTCTTTGAGCTGTTTTTATGGTCACATTGGGTGGGCTTATGGGACATAGAGTGAACTGTGATGAAAGCCAAAAGGGCAGGCAGACTGGCCTCTGAGGATGTCATGGCCATATTCCGTTCTTATACCTCTGAGAGTGGCATGGGATACTCCTTCACCACCACAGATTAGAAGTAGAGCCTGGAAGAGCTGTTCTCATAAGGGCCCAAACACACCTTCTTATTTGAATGGGATGGCCATGGGAGAAGGGGGTCAGGTGGTAGCCTGTTTTCTAGCTGTGAGACCTTTCTGCTTGACGGTTCCAGGATGTCATTTACCAGAGGTTCCTCCAGATCTGAGGTAGCTGCTGAAGCAGAGGGTGGAGTTGGCAGATAATATGCTTGTTTTCATGCTCTGAATTCCTCCATGGTTCCCCACCATGGGAAAATGGAGAAGGAGAAGCCTATGGTGCTGAGGCCCTAGATCTTCAGGCTGAAGTTTCACCGTCATGAGATTTGATATGCTGACTAGGTACATTAAGCAGTAAGATAGTAGAAGTCGGGAATTCTAAATTTTAACCTCAGATGTGCTCTTGTGTATGTGTCAGCATGGCATAGAACTGGGTTTCTCAAAGAAGGTGCTCATACATTTTGGTAAAGAAATTATAGATAAGGAAACAGACCTGAAGAAGTTATATGAATGAACCAAAAGATTTGGGCTTTTTTTTTTTTTTTTCTTTTTCCCTTCAGCTTTGGCTTCCAAAACCCTTTAGAACCTTGCAGACTCAGGATCTTTGTCACATTGATTACATATGGGCCTTCCCCATGGTAGAGAAATGAGCAAAGAAAGACACAGGAGTACGGGTTAACTTGAGTAGTTGTGGAGTTTGAGTGTATATGCAGCGGTGGATGGGATATCCTCCTCTCAGTTACTAGAGGACTGATAATCATCTTGAATTGCTGTTAGTCTCATGGCATGGAAGAGGGGATTTAAATCAGAATCATCTGGGGAGATTTTCAGAACATGTGTACAAACTATGCTTGCCTCCCCCCACCAAAAATGAATCCAAAATAGAAGAAGAGATGGCAGTTAGCACTGGTATTTGTAAGTAATTCCGATGTGCGATCCCTTACTGGGACCTATTGTGGTTACCTGACAATGGTAAGCTCCTTGAGGGATGATCTTAAGTGTCTCTGTGTTCCCCACAAAGTGGAGTGTCTAATTCACTAGATATTTGCTGAATAAATGGATGAAGCAGATGGCAGTGGAGAGATAAGAAAAAATATCCTAGACAAAAAAGACTGGGCACTGAAATGTGAGGAAGCCCAGAGGCTGCTCAGTCAATACATGTTTATTGAGCGTGATTAAAGGTGAGCCCAGCCATCTTCAGCTGTCTTGCCATCGACCTTCTATCAATAAACATAAACACTGTTTTGCCCTTGACCTCAAGAGTTAAAATAATAAATAGCTTAATTGGTCATTATTAATTCCACTTTGAATTTATTATACATAAATGTGGCCTTGAAAAGAGAATCACTCCTATATTCATCCCATGCATTTTATCCTTGAGACTCCCAAAGGTGCGTGTGTAGTAAAACAAATAAAATCTGCCTCCCACCTCTACCCTCCCATCGATAGCACATTTGCTAGTCAGTCCAAGCAAATGGCTATTTGCAAGGTTGGATGAGTAGTTAAGCCACATAGGCACAATGTAATATGACAACATTCTTCATGGTAATATCGTCCTTCTCCTCATTACATTTGAATATAGATTGCCAGTGTGTGATGCTTCCAACCTTACTCTCTATTCGTGAGCTGTGGAATTTTTCAGATGAGGTGAGGTCCACATGTGTTCCCCAGACATTATTGACTTATTTGTAAGCCTAAACAAAATCACAGCTATTGTCTCTAAGAAGTTAATTTGCCAAAGCTCTTTTCTTCCTATCTTTAATTATGTATATATTTATAGACTTGAGCTACCTGCCTGCTCAATGCTCATGTACCATATCTCTTATGTACCACTTAATGGCTCAGGGCTCTTCCTTTATACTCTCTTTGCTTCAAATTCAACATTTAAATATCTGTACTCAGCTTACCTTCTGAGTATTAAAACATTCTTTCTTTACTTCCTTGAAAAGCTGCAAATAAGCCTTTTAACATTTTATCTGGACCAAACAGTAGTGGTTTTACACAAGAAACGAGAACTCTGTAAGTAAATCTGTGTATTTATATGACTAAAGTGCATTATAAAAAGAAGCAGTAAATCCAGTTTTCTACATAAAAAGAATTAGATTTTCCAGTTTACCTCTGCACTGGGATTAATAAAATGTGCAACAAATAGCTGATGGAATGATCCATTTGAAGTTTGTAAAGGCATCTTGGGAAACTGGCTGGAGTAGCCTTTTTATTTTTTCAAAAAAGGATGCCCGTTAATTTTTTGATTCAGTCTTGTTCTTGAATGACTGTTTTAAAATGAGCTGAGAGACTGTTACCTGCCCATTTCTGCATGGCTGAGCAAATTTACCCGTAAATCCAAGTTTCTCTTCATTTCCATCACTATACGTCTCCAAATTACAGAGAATTCATTCCTGAGCTGGAGAGGTGCCAGAAGTTTCTCATCTAGCTGTCTGTGGGCTGCCTTTTTCTTTCCCCTCTTTGAGGCTTTCTGATGCTTAGAGTGAGCTCAACTCAAAGGTTTCCAGCCTCACACTCGCCTTACATTCCCCCACAGTCACACCGAGCTCTGTGATTCTGAGGAATACCGTGTGCCAGCTACCGATTCACAGTCTCCTTTTACCTGCAGGTGTTCCAGAAACTTCAAAATGCGTCTGGTAATGTATTTGCTTCTCTAAACATGCCACTTTGGCATGCATTATATGCAGCTGCTTATTATTTTTTAAAAAATCTGTCTTCTGAATAACATGCATGCTAAAAGATGTCAAAGGGGGCTTGTAGAACAGTGTAAGCTTAATTATTGGTCTAGGTGTGCGTGTGTGTGTCCTTGTTAATGTAAGCATGTTTGCATAACATTATGCACAGGCAGATTTCACTAAAGAAATCTCCCTGAAAGCACTACTTTTCATGTACATACAGGTTTTCTAATCAGATCTGTAAATATCTTACACAGCAGCAAGTAGAGGAAAAATACATTTTTCATCCCCTTGCAAATGACATGTTTTAGGTACCTATTTGAAAAACCCTCCTTTCTTTCTTAAAAAAAAGAAAAAAGGTGATTGTGTGTGTGTGTGTGTGTGTGTGTGTGTGTGTGTGTGTGTATTTGGGGTGTGAGGGTGTTGGTTTTTGAAAATTTGGCGAGAAGAGTTATCTTCCTGCTGCATAAGAATTTCTACCCCATGTTACCTGCCTTCTTAAAACTCACTAATCACTGAGGAGAAGAGATGTGGTTCTGCTTAGAAGTAACCCCAGGGGGACGTTGAGCTGCAGTGTTCAGCAGGCATTTTAGGTATTCTAAATACTACTGCTTGAATAATAAGTAGATGGGGTAGATTTGCTATTGCGAGTCCTGCTATGTTTCCTGGCTTGTAGAAATCACAATTACACTGTACGTTTAGGATATGCATGTGTTTATTGAACTCTAGTAAAGCACCATGAGAGTCTGGGCTCATAAATCACATTATTTATTTGCCAGTGTTGGGTGGTAGATTCTAAAATTAAGAAATTACTTAGCAATTAATAATACATTCAGCATCCCTTGTCTCATTGGGTGAGATTTACATCCTTGGGACTTGCTCTTCTAGTTATAGAGATGAATGATTTAAGGTTCAGACTTAATTGTTATTTCAGATCTTTAGGCTAGAAAGATGTTTGTATTACTTTATTTAAAAGACTTATTTTGAAAAATGTGTATGTATATTTCTAACTGGTGGTAAGCCAATTATGACTATAATGTGCTCTATGTTTAAGATATACAACTTGATTATTATTCACTTTCTTATCTTCATATTATAGTAATTCTTTCACTTTACATGATGTTCTTGCTCCTGAGAGATCAATAATTATTGTTGTAAAGATGAGAATAATGTAGCAACTCAGAATTCAAAGAAAAGTAGGTTGAAGTGGAGTTTTTTGAGAAATTAAATAATAATAGATTTTCCCAAGTAGGTTTTCTAGATGTACAGTGGGTTTGATATTTGAAAATGGAAACATCTTAAATGTAAACTTGTTAAGTGGAACAGACTAGGATAATATTAACGCATTCTTGTTAAGTTCCTCACTACATTTAAAATGAGGCAGTAAATAGGTTATTTTACACTGGCTATTAATTGCTTTTACTTTGTGATATTGATTATAAAACAAACAATTGATTTTTTATTGGCTTTGAGTTGGAGATGACTGTAAACTTTAGGTAAAATAGTTCACTGAATTGTAACAATAAAAATGTATAGTCTTAAAAATCATTTTGAAAGCTACTTTTACTTTTTAGCATTCAGGATCTAATATTTTATCACTTAGAGAGCTGTGAACTTACAGAATATTGTGTATATTTTAAGAAAATTACCTAACTTTTAAGGCTGATTTTTGTCAACCTTGTCCAATTTGTAATTACTCCAAGTAGCATAGTAAAAATGCATTTCAATATGTATGAATGGTTCCTTGAAAGGGCATAATATATTAGGAGCCATTAAAAACCTGTGTGGGCTATTAATGTTATACTCATGTATTGCTCTGTATATAAAGGATTTTTATTTTAGGTACCATTCATTTCCAATATTTAAATGCACCTAAGATTGTGACCTATTTGATGTAGGAACCTTGTCTTTGAATGTGAATATCTTGATGAGGGTTTCAAAATGAATGTAGAGGATGGTTGGAGATTTAGTAGCACTTTTTAAATATGTATTGCAATATGCATTAATGGATATATACAAATATTGGGCTGTGTAAAAACATTCCTTGCATTCAACCAACCTTTGAAGTTGGTTATTTTATCTGAAGTCAGTTTCATAGGCATAAAAAGAGGTCTTATTTTTCTGAGCCTATATGGCACCATGTAGCAGCAGGAAAACATTCAGTGCCATTTTGTAGGGAATATTGCATATACTAAATAGTGAAAGGAAAAATGTCTTGTTTCTGTTTCTAATTATGATTTCCTACTGCCTTTTAGATGTATGGTAGACCAGGCCTTTATTGTATAAAACACATTTGTATTATCTATAATACCTGAAATGATTGTAGAACACTTCCTCTATACATTAGTTTCCCCATTATATGACTGAGATTGTTTTATGAAATATTTCATTTCTTAAGGCTGACATATAGAAAGAGGATTTAGAAATATAATTTATAGACTGACCATGCACCTATAACTGAAAACATTCATTCTTAAAGTAAGCATTTATTGAGCATAGCTTTGCCAAGCCATCTTCTATCCTTGGGCAAAAGAGTGAGTGGAGCAGGAGGGTTCTTATCTGTCTCTTTAGACAGGAGATGCTATTCCTATTTCATCATTAACAATTATTTATGGAGGCACACACACCTTCAACATAGCTTGAGAACCATATAGATATAGATATACATATATCTATCTGCATGGTATGTTTGTGTGTGTGTGTGTGTGTGTGTGTGTATGTGTGTGTATATATATAAACAAACGAGTATATATATATATATATATATATATATATATATATAATTTGTTCTTAGTTTCAAAATGATACTATTCTAGGGTTTGCCCATAGAATGGAATGATCACAGCTGGGGTGGTTAAAGCAGGCAGGCTGGTCAAGGAAGCTCTGGAGAAGGTGAGTTTGGAGGACATTATTACCAGGAACTGATGGAAATGGGAGGAATAGGGATTTGGGGTGAAGTGAAAGGAAAGATGTTAGCAGGAGACAACAAGGTGATAACGTTGCATAGAGAAGAGGCACCATATTGGGAGTGATAGGAAGTGAAATTGAAAAAAAAATCACAGGGTTGAGTTTGAGATATTTGAAGGTAGAATAATTTGAAGATTAAATTAATCATCATTAGCTCTATCATATCCTGTGGAAGATTTTGTGAAAGTGGGCATTTCTTCTATTTTATCATAATCAATAACCTCTATAAATAGCATTTCAATGTCTATTCAATAACATAACCTTTCATGAATATTTACTATGGGCCAGGCACAGTGCTAAATACTTTCAATGCATTATCTTGTATAGTCCTCACGTACTATTAAAATCCTCATACTACAAATGAAGAAACTGAGGTACTGAGAATTCTATAACTTATTTAAGGTTATACAAAGTCAGAAGTGCCTGAGCTGAGATTTGAACCCAGACTCTGGAGCCCAGACTTTGAACCTTTCTGATTCCTATACATCAGCCTCCTGTTACCCAATTCAAACTTGTGTTAAGTCCCCTCTGATTACTCTCGTCCTCACCTCCTTCCTTTAATCAGTTGTGAAATCCTATTTGCACATCATATTTTCTTATATCTTTTTCATTCTTTACACACCTTTACATAAACACTCAAACTTTATATAACTCTGATAAAGGAAGAATTAGGTATGATACAGCCCCTCGTAAGCTCTGTTTGTTGACAGGGACAACTAGCCTCCTTATACACCTCATTCTGAAGACTTGATTTCCCTAACTGTAAAATGGATATTATGACAACTAGCTTCTCTAAAGAAGTATGGTGCAGTAGAATAAATAGAAACTTCAGAATTAGCATGCCTGCATACTAATTCTCCCTCTGTCACTTTGGCAAGCCGCTTTAATATCTCTGAGAAATAGGGATAGTACTCACATTGTTGTGAGGATAAGATGGTCCATGCATTGAACAGGCATTTAATAAATATGTTTGGCACATCATTAAGTGCAGAGTCGGATAGATGCGTCATTGGTAAAAGCACTTGACTCTGGACTCAAGCTTCTTAGGTTCAAATCTGAACTCTGTTACTTATCACCTGTGTGATGTTGAGAAATTTACTTAACTTCTTTGTGCTTAGTTTTCTCGAATGTAAAATGGGAATGATGAAAGTACCTTCCATTTAGGATTGGCGGGGGGGAACATGTGACTTAATGCAAGTAAAGCACTAGAAATAGTGCCTGGCACAGGGTAAGCATGTTAAGTGTTAAGCCCCTCTTGATGAGGCTGGGTTCACTGCAATCTTGTTTCTTTTCAGAATGAGAAGACTGATAATTCACAGTATACTTAAAGGCAAGAATTTACAGTTTCTTGGTATCCAGTGTCCACCGAATCATTGATATTATATATACCTCAGTGTAACAGATTCTTGTACAGTCTATACTATTGTTGGTGAAAGTTAGGCTCTTGCGTACCAGTTGTAAGGAAAGATTAAATTGGTACAACAACCTTTAAATGGAAGTTTGGAATATCTATCACTATTTTAGTATTTTTATTTTAATTCTAGTATAGTTAAAAATACAGTGTTACATGTACAGTTTTAGGTGTATAATATAGTAATTTGACAATTCTGTATATTAATCAGTGCTCAAGATAAATGCATTCTTAATCCTTTTATCTATTTCACCCATCCCCCACCCAAATCCCCTCTGGCAGCCATCAGTTTGTTCTCCATAGTTAAGAATCTTTTCAATATTTCTCTTTTTTTCCTTTCATTTGTTTAATTTCCTAAATTCCACATATAAGTGACATATCTGGAAAAATGTTGCTATGATCGATGCATGTGCTCTCTTGTAGCATTTTTATGATTTCAGGTTTCACATTCAGGTCCTTAGTCCATTTTGAGTTTATTTTTGTATATGGTGAAAGAAAGAGGTCCAGTTTTATTCTTTTGCATGTTACTCTCCAGTTTTCCAAGCACCATTTGTTGAAGAGACTTTTTTCTATTGCATATTCT